TAAAGCACACGAACAGATATTTCCACGACTTAGAGAAAAAAAAATCATCCTAAGTTTACCAAATCTGTTAAATTCCTCCACAAATGACAATGGAAGTGTGATTCGAGGGGAAAGAAGCCCACGGGAATCCCACCAGCTCTGCCTCGCTGTCGCCGCACATGACGATCAGGGAGACTTAGTTCTGACAAGTGACAGGAGGCGAAACAAAGGTCGGGTGGGATGGCATTTTCTTGGCATTCGTGTAGGCCGTTTCACCAAGGGACGGAGGATGTAGGCCTAGTTTTTCCGCCCCCAATGGCCCAGGGTGGATTGGAATTGAGGGAGAGGACGACAGATGCAAGGTTTGGGTGTGATTATCTACGGCGTTTCGGGCGTGAGGTGGAAGGAAAGACGACGGTTGATCTTTAATCTGTCAGATGCTCGGTAAATAGCATCAGTTTTTGCTGGACGGATTCGAAGTCAAGTCCGAGAACGGGTTTGTCGGCAGCTAGTTGGCGTGGGAGGATATAGCTCGTGGGTGACCAAAAACAATTGGATAAGTGTGCAGTCAGTAAGATTGCCCTTTCCGTCTTATGCAGGTTCTTTCTTTTCAGTTGCGACGGAACGACATAAAGATGAGTTTATTAGAATCACTTGCTCTGTCGTTTGCTTGTATTAATTTTCGTCTAAAATGGCTGGATGATAATCAACCCTTTCACCATTTTCTCTCCCCGACAGAGGCCATCAAGCGGTTCTTGGCCGAGTTTCACACTGTTGGAGACGATGGCCGCAAGAGCTTCAAATACGCCACGCAGCTGGTTGAGCTGGCGCACCGAGAGCAAGTCAGCCTCACAATTGAGATTGAGGATGTTGGTAAGGCCTTTTTTTTTTTTTTTTTTTTTTGTAAATGTGATTAACAGGTACTGGTTAGTTTAATTGGTGCCGATGGTCTTAGTATGATATTAGTAAGATGGACTTGCATTTAAACTTTTATTGTTTTGATTCCAGCTGAATTTGACCCTGATATGGCAGAAGCAATTGCAGAACAGCAGACGTTATTGAATCTGGTCTCAGAGGCAGTCTACGAAATGTTGCCGGATTATAAACAAAGAGAGGTACTTGCTACTTTCAGACTAGACCATTTGTCAGTATGGTGTATAATATATATCTCATTATTTAGCGTGTACTAATTAAATTTGCAAAGTCTATATTGTGATGTTTTGGGTATATTGACTTCTTTATGCATTTAGGAGTTTTGACAGTGATGTTATGCATTTTACTTTTAATTTAGTGTAATATAAAATTGTGTATTTCAGACAGTAGCTAGGGATGCTCTGGATGTTTACATTGAACATCGCCTCATGATGGAGCAGCGCACACGACAGCCTGGTGATGTCCGTGACATTCGCAACAGATACCCACCAGAGCTGATCAGGAGATAGTAAGTTGTAGATTCAAATTACCATTTGTAATGTGCTACAACATATATGGGTTTACAGGGTCACAGTCACCACATGTTAAATTATTTCTCTCCTCCAGTGAAGTCTACTTCAAGGCTCCATCAGCCCAAAAGCCTGTGGCCATTCGTAACGTAAAAGCATCCCACATTGGAAAACTAGTTCTAGTGCGAGGCATCGTCACTAGGTGTACGGAAGTGAAGCCTATGATGCAAGTAGCCACTTACACTTGTGACCAGTGTGGTGCTGAGACTTACCAGCCGGTAAGTTTTATTTTATTGTGTATGTAGCAGATTAGACTATTTACATATTGTAAGTAAGTCCCTGAGACAACTCTGAATATTGCTAATACAGATGTGTTTGGTTACAGATTCAGTCCTCAAGTTTTATGCACAGTTGCTCTGCCTAGAGAGGACTGTAGGTAAACAAATCTGGTGAGACGCTTGTACCTGCAGACTCGTGGCTCAAAGTTTATCAAATTCCAGGAAATCAAGGTTCAAGAGCACTCTGATCAGGTAAATTTTAAGACATGTATTTGATCCAGAATCATTTTGATTTTTTTTATGACAAGATTAGCAACAGTGAGAATGTCATATGGTACGATCACTACTAATTAAAAGGATTTCATAGGTTCCAGTGGGCAACATCCCCAGATCCTTGACTGTGATGTGCAGAGGTGAACAAACCAGACTTTGTCAGCCAGGTGACCATGTTGCCATTACTGGTGTTTTCATGCCTCTCTTGCGTCATGGTTTTAGGGCGATGATGCAGGGTCTTCTTTCAGACACCTTCCTGGAGGCCCACGTAAGTACAGCAAAGTATCTAGTTTGATTGATTGAACTGAATATACACACAGGTTTGTAAAAGAGAAACAAGGTACAAAAAATATAAAGATTGAATATTTGAAAATGTTTATGTATTACTTCACAGAGGATAGTCCAGATGAACAAGACAGAGGATGATGAATTGGGAGCTGACGAACTGACTGAGTCAGAGATCAAACAGATTGCAGAGGAGAACTTCTATGACAAACTTGCAATCTCCATTGCCCCAGAGATCTATGGTCATGAAGATGTCAAAAAGGCTCTTCTCCTCCTCCTCGTAGGTGGTGTTGACTGCAATCCCAATGGCATGAAAATCCGTGGTAGCATCAACATCTGCCTCATGGGTGACCCTGGTGTGGCTAAGTCTCAGTTGCTTTCTTACATTGACCGGCTGGCCGCTAGGAGCCAGTACACAACTGGCCGAGGTTCCAGCGGTGTTGGTCTAACTGCTGCTGTGATGAAGGATCCCCTAACAGGTGAAATGACCTTGGAAGGAGGAGCGCTAGTGCTAGCTGATCAGGGATTTGCATTGATGAGTTTGACAAGATGGCTGATTCTGACAGGACTGCCATTCACGAGGTGATGGAACAGCAGACCATCTCCATTGCAAAGGTAATTATTGTTCATGTACTTTCAAGTGCAACTTAATAGTATGATAATCCTCGGAGCATATTGTAAACCTGTCAAAAAATCTTATTTTTATGCTACTTACTCCTTACTTTATGGAGGTTCTTCAATATGACTGTACAGAAAAAATGAATGGTTATAAAATGAACACGTGTTCACCTCGAAAGCATGCAAAAGAAATATAGACTGAAAATGTAACATAAATAAATTTTTTTTTTTTAGGCTGGAATCATGACAAGTCTAAATGCTCGTGTGAGTATTCTCGCTGCTGCTAATCCTGCTTATGGACGCTACAATCCGAAGAAGTCTGTAGAACAGAACATCCAGCTTCCAGCAGCACTGTTGTCTCGTTTTGATCTTCTGTGGCTCATTCAAGATAGGCCAGATCGTGAAAATGATTTGAGGTATGGCTTTTGGAATTTATTTGCCATTGTTGTAAGAACAAAAGTGCAGTTTGAAAACAATTTGCTTTGCCATATGTAAACTGTATAGTAGATAGTCTTTTTTTATTATTGATTTACATTGTCTTTTTCTGCAGACTGGCTCAGCATATCACCTATGTTCATCAGCACTGTGCCCAACCACCTACCCAGTTCAAGCCACTTGACATGAAGCTAATGAGACGTTACATTGCTCTTTGCAAAAAGAAGGTATACATTAAAAGCTTTTGATTGTTTAGACAATGGTTTAGAATGAAATTGAAATATTTGTAAGATTTTGGTGGTTAGGATTTATCAATGTTTAATTTGATTACAGCAACCCACCATCCCTGAGAACTTGACCGACTACCTTGTGTCAGCTTACGTAGAGATGAGGAAGGAAGCTCGTAACAACAAAGACATGACCTTCACCTCTGCTCGAACTCTTCTTGCTGTTCTGCGTCTCTCCACTGCTCTTGCACGCCTTAGACTTGTCGATGCTGTAAGTGTATTTCTTTACTCTTTGATGTGATTCAGATGTTTGTTTGTTGTATGTGTTATTTTTTGTAAGAATTTTATCTTTTTCTCCTTAAGATTCCTTCATTTTTTATTTCATGTCCATTAGGTGGAAAAAGAGGATGTGAATGAAGCTATGCGCCTGATTGAGAGAGGCAAGGATTCACTGAACCATACTGAAGAAGAGAACAGGAAGGTTGGTGTGCATTTTCCCTTTGCTTTTTCCATTATATTGTTATAAGTGATGTACATATGAAAATGACGTTATATTTTGTATTAGTCTTCTGATCAACAATATCATTACTACTTTACAGGGCCCAGACTGTGACTGATAAGATCTTCACACTGATCCGTGAGGTTGCTGTGAAAATCGTGTGTAAAATTAGGTGAATCATTGAGCGTTGTACCAGCAAGGGATACAAGCCAGATCAGGTGAGATATTTGGTCTTCATTTTCAATCTGTATTCTTTTCAGCTTCACTGTAGACAGTGATTGTATTATGAGTAAAATATTAAAGAATACAAGATGTGTTTGTTAATAAAATTTTATAATCAGGTTTATTTTAAGGGGGAAAAAAGTACACAAGATATTTGTGGTGATTATATTTTGCTTTTTTTCAGGTTAATGAGTGCATTGAAGAGTATGAAGAGCTGATGTCTGGTTAACCAAGCTCGTACCAAGCTGACCTTCGTCTAAATGTTAAGAAGTGATTTGTATGTTAGCATCAGTTGTCAGGAATTCTGAATTAAGAGAATGTTAAATTTTCTTGCAAATAATATTTGATAACTGAAAAGAGTAGGTTTACAGTTGATTTATTTTTAATTTGTGAATATATTTTACCACTTTGTATACTCGGAAATAAAAAACTACCATTTCTATGTGACTGGTTTTATTTCTTATGACATTGAACATCATAATCTCTTAAAATGTCTTTTTCTAATTTAGAATTGCTCATTTCCATTTGTTTGCAGTTTTTCCTTCTTTCTAATTCATTATCCCATCTTGATAATTATATATGAATCTTAATATGATCATCATCATAAGAATTACTATTGTTGACTATAACTTAAGACTATTTACATTTTGATTGCTGAAAAATCTATTCAGGTACTTCTTTATTCCTCAGCTTCACTGAAAGTATACCACTATTTAACTTGAAGTAAGGTTAGATTCAAAAT